ATCATTCCTTTTTTACAGACACTATAGTACATAGCTTACTAACAACTGGTGAACTTTCTGTAAATCTCCAAACTTAACATGTCATATTCCTTAAAAATAAAGTACTTGAGCAGAAAATCAAAATAAGTGCTTCTAACTATCTTGTCCATACAAAAGCTTGTTAACACAAAAAGCATTATCGAGCAAAGCAGGGAAAACTTTGCAGGAATCATTATATTGATAATACATTAAGCACTTCAGGTTTCTCTCAAGAGTCTGAAGATACCAATATATTTGACTACTATCAAAAATTTCACAACAATCTTAAACAGAGGGATGGGAAGAGAGAATTTACCTTGGTAGACTTCTGTTTGGGCTCCTCTAAAGATCTTGATACCTGAAAGATAGGAATGTATAACATGAACATGCAAAAGCACAAAAACAAATTGCCTAGACATCCGTCAACAGTTTATTTTCCTTCCTATTTGAAGCAAAATATATATATTGTGGAAATGTTTATTTTATGTTTCAGACAAAATATGAATATGGCAGGCATATAACAAATGCTTACATCTTCAAATAGTGAACCTCTTTGATTGCCATTTTCAAGCACAGATGCCCTGGGAGATGTGCCTTCTTCAGATCCTTCGGGGACAGGTGAGGGAGGATTAGCAGGAATATAAATGACCCGCAATTTGAACTCCTCCACAACCTTACCGTCCTCCTTGTTAAACTACAAATGGATAGTGATGTGTCTGAGCCCAAGCAAGATAAAACCTTAAAACAGAAAATAAATAATGATAACGGCAAAACCACCCCACCATGTCAGCCGTTATGTCCTTTGTAGCTGTACCATCTGGAGCAACAACACTCTGTAGAAGGAACTTGTCTTTGCACTGCATATCAGGAGGTGCCTCTTTTTGGGCTTGCATAGTAACTGATGGGATCATTCCATATATGGTAAAAACTAAGTCATTAATGAGATTTATGAAAAAGTAAAAGTTCTATTATTATCAAAAACATCTATAGATGCAATCAAAAAACAATACAAAGTTAAATTAAACATACAAATTCAGGGAATACTCTCTCAACCACTTTTTGTCATTAATCAAGGGTACTGAAGTTTACCTGTGACATTACATGTGGTTCCCGGTAAAACAATACCAGTATTGGGCCGAACACAGTACTTTTTAGGGTTGGTTGTTTTAACCTGTTCAAGAAAGATTGAAGCATCAATTCTAATTTGTAATGAATCCAACTAGTACTAGAGTTTGAAATATGATTTAAACCATAACTTTTGCAATTTACCTTGAATGCAACATATTTATCAGTTTTGTTGGACAATTGCATAGAGCATGAGCTTTGCTTCCTCAATTCAACTTTATCGTCACAAACCAAAGAATCCAGAAAGAAAAATCATAAAGGAAAAGTGAAAATCAGGAGACTTTGATCAACAAACTAGAAATGCAAAAAGAAGACTAGTAGATTTAAAAGCATAAAATTTATACACCCATTGCTCCAATCGATAAAACCAAAATGATGTAATGAAATTTATCGACACTTCTCTAGTAAAACAAATCGCCAAATAATAGATATTTCTACCCCTACTATTCTTCCTAAACACAAAATTTTGGTAAGTCAAGACTCTTATAGAATAGAGCAGCTTGCAACATAAATATGCTGATTTGTTTGATATGATCCTCCTGTAGCCACAGGCAAAGCATCTAATAGCCTCCCAAACTTTCAATTTCCCTACAATTTTTTTTCAGAGAACCAGAGTTATCGGCAGACTCATAAGTGAAAAGAAACTTACATGGGAATTTAAGCTCTGAAGGCTGAATGTTGAGAAGATCTCCCATTGGCACAATCGATGTGATCCGGGACAGTAAAGACTGTGAAAAAAAAAGATTTAATTTCATTGACATTGATAGGAATTGCCAATAAAATTACTGAAATGGGATCAGAAGCTAATATATATACTGGCCAAGCTCAAAAATTTTCTAAGTCAAAAATAGTATAGGTAAGAAAGTATAATGAACTTACCCTGTGGTAAAAACTAAATAATTAGGTGTTATTTGTATGTGATCTATCTATCTGGAGTCTGTAGTTACAAACCACATGGGTTGGAGGAATTAAAAATACAACCAAAGAAAAAAAAAAGTGAATATAAGTACAAAGCTTTAATTATTCTTTGTGCCTCAATTCTTCTTATAGACTTCTAATAATTCTTCTTTTGGAGAAATCCGCTTTGTAATTGCTCACATTATCCCATCAACAATCAAAAAGTTATCTATGTTTGTATTTTATTTTTTTGTTTCTCTCTTTTCTATTTTTTTTAAATTTATTATGAATTTTTGGGATTGAGCATTAAAGTCAAGCAAGCATTAACAAGAAGTTATTGGATTCTCATATTTTCATGCCAAAGACTAAAAAGCTAAAAGAGAGAACTCATTATTGTCTAAGGTGGAGCTATTTAAAAATCACTTTAAGGGGATATATGTTAAGAATAAGGGAAAAGGGTCAGTGTAATCTAGGAATATTACTGTAGGAATTATGCTGGGAGTTTTCAAGCCAATTCATAGAGACAGCTGGCAGTGTATTGTTGTCGCTGTATGATAGCCTGTCCTGGTGCCAGTAATTGGTGCTATCAATATGCATACAGAATATTAGGAAAATCAACAAAAATCTAGCCAGTTTTCTCAAATGCCTCCTCTTTTCTGTTCTCTCTCTCTCACTTTTCTCCTCTCCTCTCTTCTACTGACTCTTTCTTCTGGCCCACAGCTAAACCCTAATGTGCCTAGAACGTGACAACGTGGTATCAGAGCAGAACGACCCTTGGCCTCCTGTTAGTACCACTGTTAAGCTGGCGAAGAGAAGGCAAGGCAACCATGACTGACGCTCAAAAGGTGTCTCAGTTGGAATACACCATCTGGAACATCAACCAGCACTTACAGGTGTTCATGACAGAAATGTACTAGGCTATGGACGTGAGAATAGCAGAATCGAGTTCTACAATGCAAAGATGATGGTAGACACTATCCAAACTCCTTCTCGGCCAAAACCATACTTCTGTATCACCGACTCAAAACTCTACTCAAACAGCTTAGAACCTAAACAACCCCAGTGCACCACAACCTCCAGCCCTGCAGTCTCCTTCAACAAACACTGGACAGGCTCCGTTCCCTCAACCAATCCAATACCTAAAACAGTTCTCTGGTCCCGAACAGTCTTCTCTGATTCCCTCCTCAATGAGAGGCATCCTACCTACTCCAGGAGTTTGTGATCACCTTGGGGCAAAATCCCAACACCTACGAGTACCTAGGCAGGAACACACCAATTGTGGATATCCCCATCTATGAAAGAACTAATCCGAAGGCATGGCTAAGGTGCTGCTACAAGTATTTCCAGGTTTACAGAATGCCTAAGGAGCGAAAGGTAGAGATCGCCATTTTATACTTTGGAGAAAAGCCCAACACATGGTACCATGGGTAGCAAGCGCAAGTGGGTGGAAGAGATTAGAAAATGTTCGAAGAGATACCATACAGGAGATTTGGAGAACCTTCAGTGGCAAACATCATTAGTGAATTCAACAAACTCACTCAAGAAAGATCTCTACAAGAATACAAAGAGAGATTGAAGATCTAAGGTCCATGATGCTGAATATCAATCCGACACTGGAAGAAGCCTACTTCATCTCCAGCTCTATTAGCGGTCTGGATGAGGAACTTCGGCCCATTATCAGCATATATAAACCGCATATCCCCAATATTGGGTATGAACAAGCCCTCTTAAGCACATCAAGGCAATCATGCGGCGTCAAAAAGGTATTTTTGACCACCTTATTCACACAGGTATTCAGTACCGGAGGCTGCTTGGTCATAGCTGAAAACCTACAAAGTAAAGCTCACCACAAAACTACTGGTTCAAACAAACCAAGGCCATCCAAAAATAAGAAGCAAAACAATGCCTATTATAGATGTAGCTTTCCGTATATCAGTGTAGAATAAG